TGTTTGGAACCGGTTCGGTCGGGTTCGGGACAAAAAAATTTGAGATCCGTTTCAAACCCCGTTTATCGGTCCGGTACCATACCGGTCCGGTTCGGTATCATGCAGGTTCCGTATTTTTGCCCACCCCTGGCATTAGTGCACAAGTTTGTTGAGACTGCATTTACGAGTCTAGCTAGCCAACCATGCTCAACCCTTCGACTTCAGTCTAAAGAGTAAAGACATCATCTTTTAGAATTAGTACAAAAATTACACTTTGGAGGTAAGAATCTATATTCTTACCTAAAAGAACTACTACAAAATTACATATGGGTCCAATTTGAATTAAGTGATTTGGACGGAAAAACTTTGGAGGTTTGAATCTATATTTTGATAGAAAGAAGCCTCTAAAACAATTGTGATAGAAGAAACCTCTAAACCTATTATTTCATTTATTTTTTTATGAAATCTTATATAGATATTCTCTCTCCTATTACTTTCTAATAAGAATCTTAATCATGTACATATTTAAGAGAATCTGCAAAAAAATAAATAAATTACAAACCCAGGGTTCTAGAGTTTGATTTCTCCTCGTTTTCACATTGATTAAAAAATCATGGCCCTCATTTTCGTTGATACCTTCTCCAAGTTAGTCTCACCTGACCAAATTCAACGTTGTCAAATAAAATAACATTTTTTGTTGTCAACGTTTGAAATCATGGCCGTTGAATTTTGGTGCAAAGGCTCGTATAAATGTTGGTGCTAACTTCTACGTTGTGGGCCGTGATCCAACCGGAATGGGCCACTCGACGAAGATGAGAGATTTATATGATGCAGGTCATGGGAAGAGAGTGTTGGCAATGGCACCCGGACTGGAGCAGCTTAACATTTTGCCTTTTAAGGTGGTACATATGACTTTGATGGCTTTTTTTGTCACACAATTAAACTACATGATCTTCGTACGTATTGATTATTTTTTCTTCTTCGTATAGGTTGTTGCATATGACAAGACTAAGAATTAAATGACATTCTTTGATCCATCTAGGCCTCAAGATTTTATTCTCATATCTGGCACCGAGGTATTTAGGGCTGGGTTCGAAAAAACGAAAACCGAAAACCGAATCAAATTAAACCGAACCACGACCAAATAAAACTGAACCGCTAAAAACCGAAACCGAATGTAAACAACCGAAGCGTAGTTGTTTGGTTCGGTTTGGGTTTTAACCCTTCAAAACCGAACCGAACCGAACAAACCGAACTAATTAAAATATGAATTTTTATTTGTTAATTTTTAAGCATTAATCCTAATATCATCAATAATCTTTGATTTTCTTGTGCTAGAGAAATAATGTTTGTGTTATGTTTAGTTTAGTTTAGTTTATAAAATGCATTTTTGCTCATAATAATGTAGTTATATTGATCGATTATGTCTTTTATGTATGTATGTTGTAATTTGTTGCATGATTATTGTTTTTACTGGTTATTAGTAGTAATTAAATTTTATTTTTATGTAACTTACATTTTTTATATTGATAAAAAAATAAATATTCATCTCAACTATATCACATAGGATGTATGTATTCATGAACTTTTTCAAACTAGTCACAAACAATGTAAATTAAGAATATATGCATTTATATCTCTCCCGCATACTCATATAATTCAAGACATATTTATTTATTCTTATTTTTACTTTATTTATTCTAGTATGCTTGCATTTTTTTATGTACTATGTTTGATCCCTTTCATCCCTCCAACTATCTATTTATATATATATATATATATATATATATATATATATATATATATATATATATATATATATATATATATATATATATATATATAGAGTCCTGATCCTGTCCAGACGTCCGGACAGGAACCGCCGTCCGGCCGGCGGCGTTTGGCCGCCTTCCCGGTGGAATTTTTTGATGAAATTTTTATGGAATGTTCTCCATCAAGTCTAGTTTATCCACAAAAAAATTCAGCCAAAAAATCAATCGGGAAGGTCGTCAAATGATTTTTGCAAGTTAACTGGTCCGGAAAATACATATTCCAGACCAGTTAACTTGCAAAAATCATTTGACGACCTTCCCGATTGAGTTTTTGGCTGAATTTTTTTGTGGATAAACTAGACTTGATGGAGAACATTCCATAAAAATTTCATCAAAAAATTCCACCGGGAAGGCGGCCAAACGCCGCCGGCCGGACGGCGGTTCCTGTCCGGACGTCTGGACAGGATCATTTGTGTATATATATATATATATATATATATATATATATATAGAATTTGGTTCAAATAAAAGGTGGAAGAGATCAATTTTTAAGTTGGAAACGCGGTGGCGTTTTTGTAATTATGGAGAACTTTTTTTGAAAATATTGTGACAAATGTGCATCAGAATAGTCAAAAAATGCACACGTGGAGCACAAAAGTGCAATACGGTACAAAATAAAAAGTGCACAAGATGGAAAATTTTGACAATCTTTTTTGACTCGCATGAGTACACTTTTAATCAATAACTATCCACTTTATAGTATAAACGTTTGCACATTTTTTTAAAACATCTCTTATGTTTAAAGTTCATCTAATCCATCCATTTTCAAGTGATGGATGACCAAGATTTGTTCTCACTTTTCATGGGAAGACTACTTTTTACTTGAACCCATCCATATATATATATATATCAATTTTAAAATAAATGACAAATTTTTAGTAAAAAAACCGAAAGAACCGAAACCGAACTGAAACAAACCGAATCAATCAAACCGTGGTTCCGAGTTTTGGAGTGTAAAACCGAACCGAAATCGAACCGAACTTTTACTTTGGTTCCGTATTTGGTTTTAGGTCAGAACCGAACCGAAAGAACTGAACCCACCCCTAGAGGTATTTGTGGTTCATTTTTTTCTCATTTTTCTACTTTTGCATAGAATTTATGATTTTTAAATTCATATGTGGACAGTGGCGAAGAACAACGAGAGCCCTCCCGATGGATTTATGTGTCCAAGTGGTTTGAAAATCTTGGTGGAGTAATATGATACCTTGTCATTTCCAGCAGAAAATGAAAGAGTTCTTTCTGAGGCATTCATCCAACAAAATTATTGCTGTAACACAATATCATCCCATGTGAATAGTGTATTTGTACATAACATGATTATTCCTTGAAAGATCAAGTCTAGGTATGTGTAGGTGCCATGAATGATTCCTATAGTAGTCTGGACTAGGGGTGGACCGGTTCCGGTTCGGGCCTGGGCCCGGCCGGGCCTCGGTTCAGAAAAATGAGGCCCGAGCCCGAACCGGTAGTGGGCGGTTCCGGGTCCGGTTCCGGGCCAGACCAGGCTGGGCCGGGCCGGGCCACCCGGATTTTTAATTTTTTTTTCTTCTTCTTCTCTTATTTAACCCCCTCCCCCTCCACCCCAAACCACCCCAAACCACCTCAAATGGCCCAAAATACCTAATCCAACCCAAAACTTAAAAAAAATTCAAAAAAAAAAAAAATTAAATTCCGGCCCGAACCGGGCCCGGCCCGGCCGGGCCGGTTCACTAAACTGGAGGCCCAGGCCCGGACCGCTATACCATCGGGCCGGGTGGCCCGAACCGGGCACAAACCGGTTCACCGGGCCGGTCCGGGCCCGCACAGTAGCGGGCCGGTCCGGTTCCGGGCCGGTTGGCCCGGCCCGAGTCCATCCCTAGTCTGGTCTAGGGGTGGACTGGGTCCGGCCCGGCCCGGGCTCCGGGTCATAAATATTCAGGCCGGGTCGAGTCGGACAAATTTATTTTTTTGTCTTTTAGAATTAATTCGAACCCCCCCCCACCCCCAACCCACCCCCCAAACCGCCCAGCTAGACTTGCACAAAAACGGGTCGCACGCCCGGGCCGCCCAACTCGCCCGCACAAATGGGTAGGTTTGGGCATATATATTTACCCACCAGCCTGGCCCGGCCCGCAATAGTAATTGGACGGGCTTGGGTTAGGGTGTGGGCTCGTTCAAACCGATAAGCCCTGCCCGCTACATTTAGTGTGTGGTTTGTGTGTGTGTGTGTGTGTACTAGTCTATTTTTTTTATGAATGTGGTGAAAGGCCTATAAACATTGTAAGCATATTAACAATTTTTTAAATGTTGTAATATTATTTAAAAGGTATTTAAAGAAATTATATAATTTTGAAAAATAAAGTTTTCCCGATCTGGGCGGCCCAATAGACTACCCGGTCCGCTCTTATGGGCGGGTACGGACATGTAGTTAGGCCCGCCTACACATAATGGGCAGAAAATTTATAAAAATCCCGGTCCAAACCCGTTTTTGTGCAGGTCTACACCCAGCCCCACCCGAAAATTTAAAAAAAAAAATGGGCCCGGACCGGCTGGGCTGGTCCACCTATTTTGAAGCCTATAGCCCCCCCTGTATAAGCCCCGGTTCGGGCTCTAGTCCTGGTCCCGAAAACTGTCCCAAAATGTTTAGCCACATCACAAAATTTGGACCATAATTTTGATTTATATAATATCATGAAAATTTTAAATTTATACTATTATAAAAGTACTTTTAACAAAAAAAATCATATCATTTTTATATTATACATAATTTCCAATAAATGTATATTATCGATCAAAGTTTTGAATTTGACTATTTATTTTGGGACAGAGGTAGTATTAATTATCCAAATGTAAACACACAAAAAGTAATATTTTATCATAAATGTTACTTAATTAACAATGATCTAAAAAATAGCTATTTAATTAACATAGGTAAAGGATAATAAATACTCCCTCCATCCCCCAATTAAGTTCCTCATTGCTTTTCACAGTTATTAAGAAAAAAAAATTAATAGGGGGTAAACTTTACTGTTTGGACATTATTTAGCACTGTTTTGAATCTTTTGATGTAGTTAATTTGCCAAATAAGGAAAGGGGAACTTAATTCAGAGACTACCCAACAAGAAAAGGGGAACTTAATTGGGGGACGGGGGATTACTATTTTTACCGACTAAAACCATATCTAAACATTAAATTTTTACGAAAAGACTATGGAAAAAAAAAATACAGATCCTAAACTATTTGTATCTCATATATTGAAAGAATACTGGTACTACAACATTTTCTGTTGTGTATTTATACACGAACAATGTCTGAATCCCAGTTCTACACAAATGATCAGAAACATAAACGAGTCCTAAAAAGTTCAGAAAAGTTTTATCAAAAGCCTCAATCTTCAACTGTAACAACTTAGAAGCAGCTCTATGCAACAGAAGTGCTCATATTACAGCAGTGTTCGAACGTAGATGATCTGCTAGATGCCGACCCTCTGGCTCACTAAGATAACTCTTTGACTTTACGTAACTACAGAGCTGAGTGACCACTATGTGTGACTGAAGACCTTCGTCCAAAGGTTTCAAGAAGTCTCCGGTGAGGATGTTCAATAGCTTCTCAAAATGATGCTTATATCTTCTGTGTAGCACAAAACCAGCAACCTGCATGCATGTAGCGAAAACCACTACTTGTAAACATTTTTCGAATCCATGTATTACAACATCAAAAAGGTCTTGTGATCAACATACTTCAAGAAATGCGTTTAAGGCAGCAGCAGTGTACAAGTTTGCCGGGACTGCATTTAAGAGTCTAGCCAACCATGCCCAACCTTCTCGATGCCCATGCATGTTCTGGAACCCTTCGACTTCAGTCTAAAGACATCATCTTATGGAATTAGTAACTTTATCTCATTTGGTTTCTAAATAGAACTACTACAAAATTACATAAGGGTCTAATTTGAATCAAGTGATTTGTACAGAAAGACTTTGGAGGTTTGAATCTATATCTTAAGAGAAAGAAGCCTCTAAAACAAATGAAGTGTGATTGAATGTTATACGATCGCCTATTATCTCATTTATTTATTTTTAAATGTCAAATAGATATTCCCTCTCCCCTAGTAATCACCCCAGTGTTTCTGAGATATATGTTGAAATAAGAGCAATATCAGCACACATTTTCTTCGAAAGAAAAGATGAAGATTATTTTAGAAAGAGCCAAAAAGATTATTTCAAGAAGGATGGAGTATATAACAATAAAAGAATGGAGTAACAAGAATGAAGCCATAGAATTGGTAGATTTTGCTCAATATAAGATCAAAACATTGACAGGTTTCAAAAATGGGACTAACTGACTAAGTGTGTTTTATTTCTGAAATAGAACTGAGTCCTACTAAAAGAATAAGTTGATTTAAACTTCCCAAACTAGGAGCGAATGGGTCTTACTTTGGGAATAAAACAATGATAGTCCTATTTTTGAACTTTATCATCAATGTTTTGGTCCTATTTAGGGATTTTTCTCCTTGGTAGAGCCCTCCAAAACCCTGTATCTAAACTAAGGAGGTAGAAAACCTGAACAATAGCTCCGTATAGTTTCATGTAGGCACATAACCGATTAAGGTAACTACTATCAGTTTCAATCTTCCCATCTTCTTCCACTTGATATCCAATAGCTGTACAGTAAGCACTTTTGTTCAAGAAGTCTGACTGAAAAAATAAAAAATTGGAAATGCAACCATTTAACAGAAGGTACAGTAAAAAGAAATGAACAGGGGCTAATGAATGTGGTACATTGGTGAGGACGAATCAAAAGTGCGTGTACCCAATGAGATAACTCAAACTTTGTGACTGCCTCGGGCACACAGCAATACTTTAAACGGTGTGCCCCCCCCCCCCAACCCCCTCAATGGGGTAACCCGTAACCAAGTCAAGTTATGCAAAAAAAAAAATCAAAGGCCAACAGTAAACCACTCTGAAGTCTGAAAGGCCAACATACTTGATGGAAGTATGTAGATGCATACAGTATGTTGATGAAAGGCCAAACAGATGGTAAGTACCTGAGAGTACGCCAAATGCTTTGGAACTGTGTAGATGCAATTTTTGTTCAATTCAGCAAGGATAATATCCATAGCAAGAGGAACCTGCCATAAAAGCAGAATGTAGGAGTACAATCATAAAGGAGAAGCTTTTAATCTTACCTGAGTTGGTTGCCTCACTTGTAGGCCATTCAACATTAAGGGCAGGGGTGGAAATTATTAAGGTAAGAATAAAAGGACGCAAGAAAAGTATGACAAACAGTGCCTCTATTAGTATACATGAGGGGGATGTTTTTTACACAAAATGATGAATTCATCATGGTGGAGGAGACGATGACCTTAAAACTGTGAAAATAAACCACTTACGTCCCAAAATACACTTCATGGTTATTTTTGAAGTCAAAAATCTTCTTTCGTTGTAAGGCTTAGATGTCGTTGTTGTATTAACGTTTCATAAACTATACTCTCTATGTCCCGCTTTTTGTGTCCTCATGCAACGACGTAAGACTTAGGATAATTTTATTTCATCCTTTTGGGAGTAAGGCTTAGATGTCGTTGTTGTATTAACGTTTCATAAACTATACTCTCTATGTCCCGCTTTTTGAGTCCTCATGCAAGGACGTAAGACTGAGGATAATTTTAATTCATTCTTTGTAATACTTAATTTTTCTATACAACAACATTACCTACAGCGGGTTAATGGGGATCGGATGTAGGCAACCTTAACTCCTGTACTAAAGCACAAAGAGACTATTTTGGATGACCCATGATGAAAATAGCATTGAAAATTGCATGGAATGACTACTGATTCATAACAAATAAATGTACAGTTTAGTGAGTCGTGTTGCTTAATTTTTCTAAAAGCAAATAAAAACTCCTTATCTTAATTAATTAATTCAAATTACTGATCATGTGACACATGTGGAATCAACACATGATGCTTTATCGAGGCCTTCAAGGGTATCATGGATGCACATTGTTTAGCAACATGGGCTGAGTTGTAAAATTGTAAAACAAAAAAAATGATTTAGACTTGGGTGTGCCTAAATATGTGTCAAAGAATCATAGTATGGTAGTGAAAAGATATTGGTGTTTATGTTGGGGTGAGAATATGCAAGTGGCCCATGTATATCCTGTGAGTATTAAGTTTGATAAAAGTGTATGTTGTTCTATAATAGCAGTAGTAACATGACTTTTAAATTATCTAAGAAAATAAGCTTAGAAGTTGCAATTTGACCAATAAATTGTACTTCGCATTTTGCAACAAAAATATTTTTATGCAACATTAACTTATTAGTCTTGGGAGCAGTCTTGTCAAAATGTCAAGGGAAGGCTTGCTTCTTATACGCTTGGCTGCCCCTTTTTTATTACTCCTTCCGTGACACTCATATCCTCTCACTTTTCTTTTTCAACTGTGACATTCATATCTTCCCATTTCTAAATTTTCCTATCATATCTTGATTTCCCTCAATAAATTTGAAAATAATACACTATTACAACTACTTTTTTGGATTTATCCTTCATTCCAGCACATTATTTCATTATCTTCAAATCATACCCTCAATAATTTATATCTCCTTTCATTATTCATAATCTTACCTACTTTTAAATGGGAAGATATGAATGTTATGGAGGTAGTAATTTATTAGTGTTTTTTTCAATATAAAGTAGTTAGAATAATGCTAAAAAATAATATTGTAGACCGTGAAATTCAAACAATAAGTTTATCTTGAGACGATATTGGCTCTAGTTACCACAAAATATGTTAAGACACGAGGTTTCATCCTAAAAGGTCAACCTGATAGGAAGAGTAGCTCATGTCTTAATATAGCATTTTATTCCTTCACGTGTTTCCGGTGTGAGAATTCAACACCCCTCCTCATGACCAGACACTTCATCTGGATCGTGCCGTCATTCATTTTTTCGTTATTGTCATTTTTTTTGTAATTGTGTCGTCAATTTTTCATAAGGGGGGTCCACACCATGGATCGATTAGGCTCTGATACCAGGTTAAGACACGAGGTTCCATCCTAAAAGGTCAACATGATAGGAGGAGTAGCTCATGTCTTAATATAGCATTTTATTCCTTCACGTGTTTCCGGTGTGGGAATTCAACAAAATAGCACTTAGCAAGCAAGAAATATAATTTCTTACCTGAGATGTAACAAGAACAATTACACGGCCATAGCTATAAGGAATACTTGACTTTTTATGCGCAAGAACCACATACCGGTTGATGATCTGCAACATTGCACAGACAGATACAAGATGAAAAAGCCATGTGAAAAAGTACTTCGTTAGATGAAGAGGCTAAAAGCCTAAAATGCATAAAAATGGAAAGGGTGCTGAAAAGTGTAGAAAAAGATGAAAAAGTGATAATTTGGCCCGAATTGAAAGGGGTGCTGTTTTTTCTATTCAGACATTTTGACAAATATACTGCCCAAGACCCCAAGTAATTTAGATAAATACGGAATTTGAAAGTCAATTGAATCCCTTAATAATACATGAACAATTTTCTTTTTAGGATATTACGAAAGAGAAGATTACAATGTAAGAACATTCATGTCATTTAAGACATTCGTAGTTGTCAAAAGAGAAAGTGGAAAAAATAGTAAAAAACTAGTCGGAAAGCAGGAGACTAAAAAAGGAGGGAGTAATAATATACTAAAACTATTAACCAAGAGAAGAAAAATGATAAGATACACTAAATTAAACCAGCAAACATGAGAAGGTTAGAGTAAAAATGTTGATAAATTGACCTACCTCTTTTGCAAAGATTGCAATGCTTATGGTAGGATATGGTGAATTATCTATTAACTTAATCAAATTGTCCACTTTGGCCCTGTGGAAGAGTATAGCATGTCAGAAGTGGCTTATATAGAAACAATAAATACTATAAATTGAAGATTGATAATGCAAGAAAAAACCGAGTATTTTAAAGCAAGTAGAAATGGTCCGATAGCCTAATTAATAGGCAACCATCTCACCTAACATTTTTTTCCAAACCTGATATGGTCATTATCGTTCTATAGATTTCAATCTCAAGTCTTTTATATTCCTGCGCACAATGAGGTTTGATCAATACTATGTATTGATATACTCAATAAGTAACATATAATACAATAGCGGACCCACTCCTTTGTTTTGGTAGGGTATAATATACTTTCACAGTATTCTATGCAAAAAACTAAACATAAATGTTGATTATGAAAATTTCTATTAAAAGATGTGCCACAATCTGTTTTGTCCACCGTTTAGGCCTACTCAAGAAATATTCGCGATATCTTTATCATTGCATATTAAAATTTAATGATTTTATACAACATTTCAGGAATCTGAACCCTGTGTGAGCCACACTACAACAACATTAAATGATTAAATATGCACATCAGTTGTTCATACATTCTCACACATAAATTATTACAAGCAGAAAGCAAGCTTGAACTTGATTATCATTACCGTTTTAGTGCCTAACCCCAACGCTTCATTCTTCACAGCTAATTCCATATACAGCATAGATCTTTCCTTCTCTATATCCAAAGCGTTTTTTGCAGCTTTTATACTACGTCCTGATACTAGTAGCTGAAACAAAGAAATCCCTGCATGGTGCTCATATCTATTATAATCTAAAAGCAAAAGGATTTTGAGGACTGGATTCCCGCTCAGAAATGTCACTATCAATACTTTATTTTTTTTTTGTGAAAATCAATGCAAAGGAATTAAATGGGAGGTGGTGTGTAGGGCTCAAGTAAATTGGGAGTGTTCCTATTGGTTAAAAAGGAGGTGGGCACTGTTGACAGTAAAGAGGGTGGTGCGCAGGGCTCAAATAAATTTGGTGTTCCTATTGGTTAAAAAGGGAGGTGGCACTGTTACAAGAAAGAAGACGGTGCGCAGGGCTCAAATGAATTTTTTGTGTTTCTATTGGTTAAAAAGGGGGGTGGACACTGTTAAATGGGATTTCATGCATCTCAATCTCAGCTATAAAAGCAACAATTTGTAATGACAATTCTCACACCAATACGCATATCAAGCTGAAATAGCAAAAGAAGCATATATTCCATTATTGCATTTGATTTTGACCTTTGCCCATGCTTTCAAGTTGGGACTTCCGTACTTCTTGATTAGTTATTTCAGCTGACCCGAAGTGTGTTGAACCTATACACCAAATCAATTAACCCATTAGTGGTCAACCAAACCGGATAATTGACCGGGTGGCCGGGTGGCCGGGTTCTGGGTCGAACCGCCCGGTCCGGTCCGGTGCGGTTCTTTAAACATTGATTTTACTTTCCATTTTCAGGTACATGTCCACGGAAGGTTTTTATTTGATGTCTATGTTGCCGGCACACAGGAAATTCTGCAAATCTAGGCCGTATTGTTCATCGACGAACGACTACAGCTTCGTGGGGATGATTTTAGAGAGAGGGTTGAGGTGGAGAAGTTTGGGAAGTGTCATTCAAACCCATCATAGAGAGAGATCGGTGATTCGTTTGTTATATGAGCCTATAATCTTATATAGTATAAATTGGGATTAAACTTTATTATATCAATGTGCCAAGTCACTACGGTTTATGTCAAGGACTAGACCCTTAGAGCATCTCCAATGGTATAATGTGCACAGTGCACACGTGGCATGAGAGATAGCCACATAAATATTAGTAAATAAATTCTTTCTCTCCTTATTTTAATAATTTTATACAGATTTAGTAAGTTTTTCTCCACAATGTCAAGAAGATCGTCTAAATGTTGACATTGCAGTTGACATTGCAGGGAAAAACATACCAAAATTGTATAAAATCATTCAAATAAGGAGAGAGATAATTTATTTGCTAATATTATGTGGCTATCACTCATGCCACATGTGCACCGTGCACATTTTAGCATTGGAGATGCTCTTAGCCCTTTCAAACATTTCTTTCAAATGCACCTGCTGATTGTGATGAATTATGCACATCCTGTCCAAACTCCGCTGTCTGGCCTGAGACCTTCTGATGGCCAGTAGCAATATTCTTAACATTCTCAGAGGTATTCTCCTCTGCAGCCTCTTCAACGTCTTTTCTCTGAGCTTCCAGTTCTGCTGTTTTTTCCTTTTTCTTTCCAACATCCTCTATTACCTTAGGATGTACCTGATAGCAAAAAGAAATGCATGAGTACAAACGAATCCCAATAATTCTATTTTGTTCATTTTCTGTCAAGACCACAACACTGATCTAACCAGTGCGCCCGTATTATTGATTTTGTTGTACTCTAAGGCTAATATACTTGGGTTGATGTAGGAGTGGCCTACAAGTACATATATGATATATTTACTTGTCTGTTTTGTATGGTGCAATGAAAACCAGCCCCTCCAGTGAGTGGTGCATATTCAGCATCCACTGGATCTTCAAATCTCAAATTTTTTGAGCCCTCTTACTCAAAAAGGTAGAACATCTCTAGAAGAATAAAATAACTGTAAGCCCTAAAGTGATGGTATTATACAGAGCGTGACTCTATGGCTGCTATAGTGAACTAGGTGAGCTGTTATACACACTTGCATACAGAAACACACTCACATTAGGGATCATCATGAGCAGTTTGTTACAGCTGCTACTTTCCCCATCCAGGCAGACACTGTTCTACAGGCAAAATGTAAAGCTCTATGCAAGTCCATACAAAGCTACAACGGTGCAACCAAACAGGATATTCAAAACTTGTTGGGGAGCTTGATGCCATTACACTACTACATGACTTCAAAGGAAAACCTTCACCTCGGACATTTAAGGGACTCACCAGTGATTGCAAAGATCGTATAAACACTAAAAGCTCAAATACAGCATTTTATGAGAGAAGGAGATTGTGTTGTCCTTCAATGTTTGTCTCTTGTATAGCTGTATGCTTTCCCAAAATCTTTATACAAGCTCCCCAATGTTTGTCTCTTGTATGACATTTAAGGGACTCACCAGTAATTGCAAAGATCGTATATGGTTTTCCTTCAATGGTTGTCTCTTGTATGCTTCCCAAAATCTTAAGTTAATTCTTATATTTATTGTTTTTAATGTCATAATGTATTACTTTCTTTTCAATGTATCAATGTTTGTGCTGAGGTGGGAAATTAGAATAGTAAAAAGTGTGGTTGAGGTTTGTGCAGAGGAGAGAAAAATGAACAAAGCCACATATCCATATACTGATATACATATACATGTACATATTTTTTATCTTATTCCTTCTGTCTTATATACGTGCATGTGTACGTGTACGTGTAGTGTACATATATATATATATATATATATATATATATATATATATATATATATGCATACATATATAAGGAAATGAAGACATTGAGTGAAACAAAAAACTAACCTCTGGCTCTGTTCTATTTGTTTCTAGACATATCTCTTCCAGAAAAGCCCTCTCTGTTCTTTCAGCCAATTCAAGGGCTGCATCACATCTTATTCTCCTTTCTTCAATTTGGGATCTATGTTCATGATCCCTTCGTATAGATATCAAGTGATCATCAAGTGCTTCTGCACTATCGTAATTCAATAAAAGTCAAGACAACCTAGATCATATTAGAACATTAACATGCTAGAAAAGACAGAAGGAATAAGATAAAAAAAATATTTACTGATATATACGGAGTATGTATTTGTGTACTGTGTACGTATATAATTATTTATAACTATATATATAATTTTATAGAGAAGTAGGGAGACGGAGACAGACACGCATGACCAAATTCCCATAAAGCTAGCTTTGGTCTTGACCAAAAGTTAATTAAACAATTCAGACTTTGCCTCTCATTGAAAGCCAAACATCACATCATGCCATCAATTCAATTTTACTGAAGATAACTACATTTGTAATGATGAAATCATGAAATAATCACACACATACCTAGACAAATTTTAAACGAGAGAAACTGCATTTCTAACATCTATCTTAGAATAAACTAAAGATCCAACTGTGAGACTAATAGTCATAATTTTGTACTAATATAAGCAAATGAATTTGAACCAGTTAAGTGATCTAAGAACCAAGCATTTCAGCCCAGCTGGTTGTGGGGTTACCGTGCCTGGTGGGAGGTCTCGAGTTCGAATCCCGCTAGGCACACAAGGGTGTGAAACTCAATGGAATGAGTTTCAGCCCTGATTACTCCAGGCTCCCCCCAGCCCCCCTCCCCCCGGAGTAAAAAAAAGTGATCTAAGAGCCAAAATCAAAGTTAGCATGACCAAATTCCTCTTAGGCAGTTAGGTGCACCTGAAAGAACAACTACTCATCATCATCATCACCCCAGTGGCGCAAAGGCTCCCACCTATGGTGGGGTAAGGGGGGTCGGATGTACGCAGTCTTACCCGTGTACTAAAGCACAGAGAGACTGTTTCCGAATGACCCATAGTGAAAATCGCGTCAAAAATTGCATAGATTGACTGTTACTTCATAACAAAAAGCGCAGACAGTTTAGTGAGCCATTTTGCTTTATTCCGTCATATTCCCAAGCCAGAAAAAATAGTGAGTCTTTGGCTCCATTGAAAATGATGGAAAGTGAAAGAAAAACTACTGCAAGTATAAAATTGCTAGAACTTGAAACACGAAACGTCACATGAGGAAATGTCATTTTTAAATGAAAACGGTTGAAATAAATTTTTCTTTGAAGTTTCCTAGAATGTTTTTGAAGCATATCTGAAGAGGAGAAGCACTACCCTCTAAGAGTTTACAAGCATCATGTATCAAAATATAACTAAATAATGAAAGTCATCATGCCATTGATTGTTTGAATTATTACAAATGACAGTTCATTTTCTGAATATGCTTGAAATGCATTTACTTTTCATACTAACATTCTTGAATTATTAAAAGTAGAACCTTACATTTTGCGCTGATACTGCATGTCAAGCCTTCGATCCATTTCCGATAGTGCTTCATAATCCTTCGCAACAAATTGAAGCTTAGATGAAAATATATGGTGCTCATCCAACAGAGCTGTTTCAAATGCTGATATTTTGTTTCTCACATTTTCCTGTTAATAAAAGGAACGTGTTCATACACATAGAGATAAAACAGAGTATATGTTGTACGCATTTCATAAACCACCTGATTGTCAAAGAAACTGTTTTCATTTAAGAGAAAAATGGATTACTTTGGGAATAGAACACTTATTCTCTGTTTTAAAACCCCAAAGCTTTTACAAAACGGAGGAACCAGAAAACCATTATACAATTAATAAATTCACCAACCATAACGTTAAGGCGATGCTCATAAGTAAGCTCAGACAAAGCGCCTTCCACCCACCCAACTTTTTCCATTGGATGTTGGTCTACATCAAAAGATGCCTCATCTTCGGAAATTTGACCATCACTGAAATACACAATGTTTTCAGTTTGAGAGAGTTGAGAACAAACAACAATCAAACAATGAACAAAGTAGTTTAAACTCAATAGTATTAGAGTAAGAGTAGTAATTTATTGTAAGAGTAATAGTAGTTCAAACTCTATTCAGATTTTAGAAGACAAACAACCTCAGAATTTTAAACGCTAGAGACTGTTAAAAGGATCACAAGCATGAATAATTAAATATCATATTGTGGGCACGCTTTAAGTATCTCAGTCATTCCTTAAAAAAAGACTGTTACATTGCTCCTATTAAACTTTTAAATGTAATATGTATGGTGTTTCTCATTATTGATTACATGATCCGACACAATCAGCATCTAGGTACCTTGCATAAAGGTCATCACAAGTAATTTGCATGCCTGGAGTGACAAATTGTTCAGAAACCTCATCTTCACAATCACTTAGGGAGTGTTTGCAAACGCTTAAAAAAAGCGTTTCTCGGCTTTTGGCTTAAAAAAGCTAAAGTTAGTGTTTTCAAATAACAACTTGTACTTAAAAAAGTGCTTCTCGGCTTTTGACCGAAAAGTGTTTTTTACTTTTTCTATTACACAAAAGGCACATATTTTACCAAACGCTACCAACTTTTACTTTTCAAAATCACTTTTTTCTCAAACACTAACAACTTTTACTACTAATCAATTTTTCCAAAATCACTTCAAAAAGTACTTTTATTAAAGCAAAACCATTTGCAAACACTCCCTTAATGTCTCTGCCACCTCCATACCAAAACCCTGCCGCAGAGCACCACTCTTTGAAGCAGAACGTTCCCTATAAATATCAGAAAGCAAGAGCAATATATACATCAAAATATCAAATGGCTAATCGATACAGTTATATACTAGCCAACCACTGATTCACGATAGAGAATTAAAGAGATACAGACCGAGAAGATATCTTGGTATATGCTGGAAACTTTCTCCCATTAAATTTTTAAATGTAATATGCATGATGTTTCTCATTATTGATTACATGATCCGATACAATCAGCATCAAGATACCTTGAATTAAGGTCATCACAAGTAATTTGCATGCCTGGAGTGACAGATTGCTCAGAAACCTCATCTTCACAATCACTTAATGTCTCTTCCACCTGCATAACAAAACCCTGCCGCAGAGCACCACTCTTTGAAGCAGAACATTCCCTATAACCATCAAAATATCAAATGGCTGATCGATACAGTTATATACTAGCCAACCACTGATTCATGATGGAGAATTAAAGAGATACAGACCGAGAACATATCTTGGTATATGCTGGAAACTTTGGTGATGCAGCAACCTTCCTTTCAATTGAACTAAGCTCCGATAACAGAGCATCAAAGCTCCAATCGGGTTGTGGATCAAGGGTAAGCCCATTAATGTCTTCAGGAACCCTAGGTTTCAAGTTCACAGCTACCCTGCTCAGGAAATAGTCCAATAATCAGAATAAGCCACAATAACCGAAGTTCCAAACATTGAAAAATGGAAAAGAAAGAAGAAACAGAAATAAACTTGTACTCCGTATAACATCAGACAATGAGAAAAAGGTTTTAAATTCTTACATAATGCAGTTGCCCTTTGAGGAATAAAAGTGGTGTAATTTGTACGTATACAAAAGCCGCAGGCGGACGCACACTCTGGAGGATTTCACTCCGCAGCAAAGGCGTGGGCTCCAGCGGGACTGAACGCCCGTGCGTTACTATTTCGACGGCTGGACAATGCAACCTCCTATGCGACGAAGATACAGCAGCTCTAAATTATAGGCGACATACGAAATCCATCCGGATGCAGGTTTCTTCCGGCAAAATTTCAGTCTCCTGGTTCGACTTCTCGATCTTATGAGTTTAACATCTCTATAAATACTATCCCTAAAAGGGGAGGGACCGTCTTTCCCGCCTACAAGACTTGCAACACACGCGACTAAAGTATTGCCGAATTCCGAATTTCCGAAATTTACTTAGAAAATCTTAAATAATCTTTAAACAAATAAATTTCTCCTCAATCAAGATATTAATTTACTAAGATATTTTATGAGATATACACTAATTTCAAGATAACAACTTACATGCATCTAAATCCAAATCTAAATCTAAATCTAAATCTAAATATAATACATTTCAAAGATACAGTTATGGAAAGTTTTGTCATGAGTCATGTTCTAAGTAACAACTTCATGATAATATTCTAGATTCTTTTTCTATTTTAAAATTATGTTCTAAAATTTAGAAGTAATTTAAAGCCCCTAAAATCTAGATTACTTCGTAATTACTCCCTTCGTCCCCTTTTTAATGTGACGGGAGATGGTGGCACGGGTTTTAAGAAAAATGAGTTTGTGTGGTTGATATTAATTGATAAAGTAAGAATATAGTAAGAATGATTTTGAGGCACACAAAGTTTACCAAATAAGGTATGGGGCAATTAAATAGGGACATCTCAATATGGTAAAACGGGACATTTAAAAGGGGACGGAGGGAGTATTACTTTGTAGATTATTCCTATACTACGAAAGTTCTTTCAATTCGTAGGATGGCATTAGATCGAACTCCTAATATCTTAGAACTATTAGGGTCTGTTTACAACAGCTTCTGCTTTTAAAAAAGTGTTTTTTTAATGAAATGAGGAGAAGTGATTAAATAAAAGTTGATAGTGTTTGAGGAAAAAGTGATTTTGAAAAGTAAGAGTGGGTAGTGTTTGGTAAAATAAGTGTTTTTTGTGTAATAGAAAAAGTAAAAGCACTTTTGACGCAGAAGCCGAGAAAAATAAAAGTTGTAGTGTTTGAGAAAATAAATGCTTTTTTAAAGCCAAAAGTTGAGAAGTGCTAGATAAAAAGAGTTGCAAACCAACCCTTAATAATTCTTCCGTATAATGCTAAGAATGAGAACTGCATGACTCCATGTTACATTAGAATATAATTCAATAAAATTAGAATTGCTTAGAAGTTACAATTAATGTAGAGCGTTGTCAACTAATACTTATAATAAACTTTATAATTTGCACTCAAACTTTTCGTTAGAAATTCATATTTTTTATATTTTAGTGAACTTTAATTTAGATGCAATTTTTTTACTTAAAAGACTTCACCAAAACATCCCAATTGCGCTCAAACAAATCAACTCCACAACTATACACGTGAAAGTGTATGTTCTAAAAAATACTTCATCCGTTCTTAAATAAGTGCAATGGTTAACTTTTCACATTTGACGATAAAAATATGACCATTAATATATATTATTCGCTTTTAGTATAAAATATATTTAAGTAAACTTTTATTAAAATATATTTTAGATTCTCTTTCAATTTAGTATATTAATTATAATTATTATACTGCTCACATTAGAATTTAAGTTAGATTAGAATTCATCAGTTCATGTTACATTAGTTTAGGACTAAGGTATGATGTTGGAATTTTACTAATTCCAATATCCTAAAAGCTTCCTGATTAAAGTTACAGTAGAATAAAGTGCTGCTGAGATTTCTAGAGAGATAAAGTGCTTCCCAGAAATCTTCAAGTGTTCTTCGGATCTTCACCCACTCCAAGGTTAGGTTCTTGAATTGTTCTCCCTTTTTTCTTTATACTTTGCTTCCTAGGGGGTTAGATCTAGTGTTTCTAGGAAAAATCACTTTGATCCTCGAACAACCCTTAGGACGTAGCATAGTTGTTATGCCGTTCCCTGACGGCCGTAGCGTCCCCTCCCCTCTTAACTTAACAGCTTCTTTAGACGAGTCGGACTGGCCTTTTGACGACGAGGACCCGTCTCCTGGAGTGAATCTTGAGATAGTTCGAGCGTTTGAAACAGAGATGGAGAATACTGCCGATTACCCCACTTCTCAGGACGAGGAGCGTCTGAATGATGATGCGGGTTCCCAACAATCGGGCGAGGACGAGGCGAGCTCGGAACCCAAGCTTCGGGGAGACGAAGCGGGTGATGCCTCTTCGGCCGCCATCCCCTGCCCTCCACCTATTTCGTCTGTGCCAGGTGAGGCGTCGTCTTCTAGGGTTACCAAGAAACGCGCGTCGCGTCGGAGGAAAGCTGCGGCTGGCGGGTTGTCCCAGTTGGACTTGACAAATCTGTATGTTATAAGGCCCGAGAGCACCCGAGGTGATTATCATTTGGCTCAGCTGTATGTTGGGCCTTATGGAAAGGTGAGGGAGCCTAGGCCGACGGACCATGTTCTGGATCCTCCTCCTGGGTACTTCGGGGTTTATCCGATGGGGTTCTCGCAAGGACTACGATTTCCGCTGCCCCCTTTTGTGATTGAGTACTTGAGGATGGTAGATCTCCCTCCGGCGCTGTTGACGCCGAATAGTTTCTCACTGATCGTTGGGTTCCTCATCCGATGCGACGAGCTGGGTTTTGAGCCCACGACGGCCCTTTTTACAAATTTGTTCCGGATCGGCCGAGGGAGCCACAAGAATTGTGCTGGTTATGCTACGCTTCAGCAACTCCCGGAGAAGAAATCTTTCAAAGACCTCCCTTCGTCTATCCATGGGTGGAAGGCGAAGTTTGTATTCGTGAAGTTGGCCGATGGGGTTTTCTTTCCTTCGCAAGGCCATAATGGTAATTTTAGCCTGCATAATCCGCCGCGAAGCGCTGAGCTTGATGCCCAAGTTGAGGCATTCCTAAAAGGTGGGCCGAGGAGTGTGAACACGTACATCACTGAGTTCAAGATTGCGGCTCTCGGGATGATGCGGTATTACATTCCTGGCGACCCGGATTATGGATTGTGGCCGAGGATCTCTGGCTCTTTTGAACAGGCCGATGGGCCACTTCTTGGGATTCCGGCCGAGGCCGAAGGTTGACACTTGCCTTTGAATCTCTTTGTACTTAGTATTTTTTTGTGTCTAATCCTTTCTTGTGGTGTCGTCCTTGCAGGTTACGAGATGAGTCGCAAAATGTTCATGGCCCAGGCCAAGAAGCAGGTTGCAAAGGAGCTGGAGGCTGTCCAGCGAGCCGACGCGTCCAAGGGGTCCGGTGACGGCTCTAAGTCTCAGGCCGATGCGGTGAAGAAGGCTGTTGCGACCAAGAAGAAGAGGTCCGCCGAGGGGCAACAGACCTTGACGGAGGCGGGGTTGGTGCCGGCTCAAGGTGCTAAGAAGACGAAGCCGAGCCCTCCCCTTAAAGATGCTGTTATGGCCGATGCGCAGGCATCGGTTCAAGGGGGAGCTGTCTCTGATGTGCAGATCGTTGAAGATCTGACCTTGGATGTCGCCTCGTCCGCCCTTGTTCCCACCAAATCAGCTGTTGCTATAAAAAAGAGTGCCCGCGCCGATCGAGACTTGACCTCCGGCCTCTACGAGGTGACGGTGCGGTATCCGCCGAAGGGCGGCTTGTTCAACGAGAAGGTTTCTGGGCACGACGTCCTTTTCCAGGCCATTCCCGATGCCGATAGGGAGTACCTACGTCGGCAGAGCAAGGATGTGCGTCTCTTCGATGGAGGACTGAACTACGTCGTCCAGGTAAATTTCTGACTTGGTGCTTAGTAATTTTTTATATTTTTTCCTCTTCTGACAATTGTCTTTTTCAGGGAGCCTTTATGCTGATGGAGTAGCAGCGGCGGCAGGACGAGGAGCTTGCTCGCCTTCGGGAGGCTGACAAGAAAGCCGCCTCTGCAGACGAGGCGCTCTCCCAGTTGGAGCGGCTTCGGGCTGAAACTGGCTCCTTAAAGGAGAGAGCTGATGCGGCCGAGAAGAGGGCCGTTGTTGCTGAGGACGAGGCGAAGCGCCTCAAAATTCAGCTTGATGAAGAAGCGGCCGCCCGTCGGCTGGCGGAGGAAAGGGCCGTGAAGGTAGAAGCTGATGCGGCTGCGGCTGCTGACAGAGCCGTGGAGCTCTTCATGGCCGAAGGGTGGAAGGACGAGACCCGGCGCGACTGGAGTTTTAAGGTCGTGGCGGAGCGCTTTGAAGCGTGGTCTCAGGAGGAAGCTGGCCGAGCCCGCCTGAAAGAGGAGTTTGAAGTCTGGTACGACCTCGGCCAGAGGCGCATGCAAATGTTGGTCTACCGCCGTCTCCGCCGGCGTGTGAAAAACTTGAAGCCTAGGGGTATCGGCCTTCCCCGGATGATGAAGGACCCCGAGGAGGAGTTGAAGCTTCCTCTGTCCGAAAGGCAGCCCCCCATCCTGAGCTCGGATGAAGAGGACGAGCCCTGGACCGAGAGTGATGACTACCTTTTTCGGAGCTCGGCCAAGTCTAAGAATACCGAGGATGAGTAGGACGATGCGGACAGCGGAGCCGTTGAGGGTGGCCAAGGACAAGCTGTTTAGTGTTTCCTTGTACTTAGTTTTCTTTTTTCATTTGTAATAGTAGTCTTAATGGCCGAAGCGCCCTGATGATTGTAACGGCCGAAGCGCCCTCCTTGTATGTTTTGAATCATCAATTAAAGATCTCTTTTTGTCCAACTATAGATGTTTGTTCCTCGCTTCGTTTTCTCTTTTATGTTTGGTGTTTGGTTTGGTGGTGTCGCGTCGTCTGAGCGACATTGCTTCACAAGTTTTTACTTTGGCGAATTTGCCAAGTCTGGGACGATGCGTTCCATCGTTTCCTTTGTGTTGATGTGGGGGCACCCTCGCCTTACTGGTATGTATGTGAGGACGTAGCGCGCGTTCCCTGCCTCTGATGTTAGGGGCGGTGCGCCCCTTCGTCGGAACTGTTGTGTTTAGAACATGTGTTTCAAAAATTTACCAAGTGTTGAAACTTTTTCTTGGCGCGGCGCCACGTCTCTTGCGTCTTAGGTAAGGTAAGGCCCCAAAGTTCTGAAATCTTTCTAAGTGCCAAGAGTTTATCTTGTGACATCCGTCCACTAAGACGTAGCGGTCCTCTTTCCATTTGTTATCACCGGGGACGCT